GCCGCCGCCCCCTCCCCCCCCCCTCCCCTCCCGCCGTCTCACCGGTAGCCCAGCGGCAGCCCTTCGGGTCCCCCGCCCTGGCTCAGCGCGCGGCTCAAGGGCCGCCAGATGGTGACGACGGGGTCCTCCTCCTCCGCCGCCCGCCCCTCGCTCCGGCCGCTGCCGAGGAGCGCCCGGCGGACGAAGTCGCGCGCTTCCCGCAGCCACTGCCGCTCCAGGGCCGAGCGGGGGGAGCCGCGAGGGACGCCATTGCCCTCCGCGGGAGAAGGAGGCGACGGAGGCGGCTCCATTTGCCTCAGCGCGGGAAAGCGCGGGAAAGGGGGCAGCTGGCGAGGGCCTGAGGCGGGCCATAGAGATGCCGAGGGGTAGAACGGCGCCGCCTGGCGTCCATCGTTCGACGGCAAAGTCTCTATGGCCCCCGCATAGACTTTCATAGGCGTTGCTGGAATTCCTAGAGTGGCTCTTTTTTCCGCGCCCGAGGACAGGACTTTCCTGGTTTGTTTTTGGCACCCTCGGAGACGTGCAAGGGGGAGCCGCTCTTGGGGAACAGTTGGAGCGGTCCGGGGCCTTTCTCCTCCTGACAAGTAGAAACGAGCAGATAAGAATAAGGCCTCCCCTCCCCCAATGAAAAGGAACCAATGACGGACAAGAGTTCTGTAAACTCAAACTGTCTCATGGGGCCACCACTGAAAATGCCCTGCTAACCTCCCTCACAGGGTACAAGAAGCAGCAGAGTGTCAAGTGAGGCTTTCAAAAAGAACCCATATAAGGGATACAGCTTTAAAAGGCTTGACGAACAAGAGAGATGGGAAAGGAGTTCTGTAGACTCAAACTGACTCATGGGGCTACCACTGAAAATGCCCAGCTAATCTCCCTCACAGGGCATGTGAAGCAGCAGTGTCAGGTGAGGCTCCCAAATTATGGCAAGCTGGTATGGGAAGATCTGCACTCTCATATGGTGCATAGAGCCAGATTCATGTCTTACAACAAGCCTGCAACGCAGTCCAGTGTTATTATCCCAGGCATGCACTGGCTGGGGTAGAGAGAGAATGGTTTACAGCAACCCAGTAATGTAGTCACCCTATATCGCACAGGAGAGTCACACCCACATCTCGGGGGGAGTTGAGGCTAGTTGAGGACAGGGACTTAACAACAAATGTCTGATAAAAGACTTTTAGAGCTATTTTTGTTGTGGTTGTTCAGTCGCACAGTTGAGTCTGACTCTTCGCGAGCTATTTATCTCTAATGATAATTCACTCAAGTATCCTGTCTTGGGGCCTGAGCTGGTCAGGAAAATTGTGGGCATAGAAATATTTTAAATAGATGAACAGCTCTAATGCAGAATGACACACAAACACACATCATGTTATCAAGGTGCACAGATGGTAGAACATTATTTACGTGACACAATCTGAGTTTGTACTCAAAGTAACTTGCAACCAAATAAATATAATGCAATAACTTCTGATATAAATAACTTGTTCCTATATATAACAATGTATGCAATAGCGACTGTTATTTTTACAGCGACAATAAAGAAAATGGTAGTTAAATCTTGGCAGCACCACAGATACCTTCAGAACATCAATTAAAACAGTATGATAAATGCAGAAGCAGCTGTAAAAGTTGAGGACAGACAGCAGGTAAGACATCAATTAACACAGCAGCAGCAGGGTTAAAACACAGAAAAAAAGAATAGCAGAAAGTTGGAACGGTCCAGTATACCAGAGACTAACAGACAGTTCAATTCTGTTCACCTTTATCGGCATAAAAATACCTTAAAAGAGGATTACTATAAAAAAGGAAATATACATTTAAAACCATATAGAGCCATACATGTAGAGCTGAGCATTTTACCAACTACATAATACTGCATATAGGTAAAGGTTCCCTTGCTCAAAAGCCAGTCGAATCCGACTCTTCAAAGCCAAAGAGCCAGCGCTGTCCGAAGACGTTTCCATGGTCATGTGGCCGGCATGACTAAACACCAAGGCGCACGGAATGCTGTTACCTTCCCACCAAAGTGGTACCTATTTATCTACTTGCAATTTCTTGCTTTCGAACTGCTAGGTTGGTAGGAGCTGGAACTAGAGACGGGAACTCACTCCGTCTTGCGGCACCCGGGTCTCGAACTGCTGAACTACTGACTTTCCACAGCCTGCAGTTCAGCGTCTTAACCACTTGAGCCACCGCAGCTCCAATACAATACTGCATAGTATTGCATAAAACAATTACTCATTGGTAGTTTTCCTGGTATAGCTCTATCTCTGGTTGTAAAAACATGGCTATGTTCATTGATATTTCCGGAACAGAGTCATTTAGAAGACGGTGCACTTTTAAAGCATTAGGAAGGTTCGTCACGTTGGCTAAGGTAGGATTTAAATATCTAGAACATAAATCCGCATACAATTAACAACAATGGAAAGAAAATTGGGGAACAGCCAGGGTTGATTTCTTTTAGGATTGACTGATTTGATCTTCATGCAGTCCAAGGGACTCTCAAGAGTCTTCTCCAGCACCATAGTTCAAAAGAATCTATTATTCGGCTCTTGGCCTTCCTTATAGTCCAACTCTCGCAGCCATACATGACTACTGGGAATACCATTGCTTTGACCATGCGGACTTTTGTTGGCAGGGTGATGTCTCTACTTTTTATCATGCTGTTTAGGTTCACCATCGCTTTCCTCCCAAGGAGCAGGCGTCTTTTAATTTCATGACTGCTGTCACAGTCTGCAGTGATCTGGGATCCCAGGAACGTGAAGTCTGTCACTACTTCCACAGCTTCCCCTTCTATTTGCCAAGGAGTGATGGGGCCGGATGCCATGATCTTAGTTTTTTTGATGTTGAGCTTCAAGCCCACTTTTGCGCTCTCCTCTTTTACCCTGAGCAAGAGGCTCTTGAGGTCCTCTTCACTTTCTGCCATCAGAGTGGTATCGTCTGCATATCTGAGGTTGTTGATCTTTTCCCCAGCAATCTTAATTCCCGCTTGTGATTCATCCAGGCCAGCATTTCGCATGATGTACTCTGCATATATATTAAATAAGCAAGGCGACAATATACATCCTTGTCGTACTCCTTTTCCTATGCTGAACCAATCAGTTGTTCCATATCCGGTTCTAACTGTCGCTTCTTGGCCCTTATACAGGTTTCTCAAGAGACATGTGAGGTGGTCTGGTACTCCCATCTCTTTAAGGCCCTGCCATAGTTTGTTGTGATCCACACAGTCAAAAGCTTTAGCATAGTCAATGAAGCAGAAGTAGATATTTTTCTGGTACTCTCTTGCTTTCTCCATAATCCAGCGAATGTTGGCAATTTGATCTCTAGTTCCTCTACCTCTTCGAAACCCAGCTTGTACTTCTGGTAGTTCTCTATCCACGTACTGTTGAAGCCTAGCTTGTAGGATCTTGAGCATGACCTTGCTAGCGTGTGATATGAGTGCAATTGTGCGATAGTTTGAACATTCCTTGGCATTGCCCTTCTTTGGGATTGGAATGTATACTGACCTTTTCCAATCCTGTGGCCACTGTTGCGTTTTCCAAATTTGCTGGCAAATGGAGTGCAGAACTTTAACAGCATCATCTTCTAAGACTTTGAATAGCTCAGCTGGAATACCATCACCTCCACTAGCTTTGTTGTTAGTAATGCTTTCTAAGGCCCATTTAACTTCACATTCCAGGATGTCTGGCTCAAGGTCAGTGATTATACCGTCGTGTTTGTCAAGGACATTGAGGTCTTTCTTGTATAGTTCTTCTGTGTATTCTTGCCATCTTTTCCTAATCTCTTCTGCTTCTGTTAGGTCCCTACCGTTTTTGTCCTTTATCATGGCCAGCTTTGCATGGAACGCTCCCTTGATTTCTCCAATTTTCTTGAAGAGATCTCTAGTCCTTCCCATTCTATTGTTTTCTTCTATTACTTTGCACTGTTCATTCAGGAAGGCCTCCTTATCTCTCCTTGCTGTTCTCTGGAAATCTGCGTTCAGTTGGGTAAATCTTTCCTTTTCGCCTTTGCCTTTCGCTTTCCTTCTTTCCTCTGCTATTTGTAAAGCCTCATCAGAAAGCCACTTTGCTTTCTTACATTTCTTTTTCTTTGGGATGGTGGTGATTGCTGCCTCCTGTACGATGTCACGAACCTCTGTCCATAGTTCTTCAGGCACTCTATCTATCAAATCCAGACCCTTGAAATTATATCTCCCATGCAAGATTGCTGATACTACCGTATTACATTGAGAATCTTGGTATACTGGATAGATACGGGGCTATTCACCCTACCGTGAGGGGCATCTCAAAGTTCGGGGGGGGACAAGATTTGTTGGCTAAGCTGTAAAGCCTTTGTGTTTCAATGTCGAGGACTCTGCGTTTAATCATTATGCGCCCGTAAAAGGGAGCATAAACAGTGAGTCCAATGGGATACCCATGGTAGTTGTTTTATTCTCAATGTATGATAGCCAATTAGACATGTTTGACTCTATGAGCATTTGTTGTGGAAGGCTCCCTTGGTCTACATTGTAATGTAGACGCAGCCAATATTTTACTGTCGTAAGCCACGCACCAGATTCCACTGAGTTTAACCCAGTTTCTAAACATAGAAGAAGAAGGTTTATACCTCGCCCTTCACTCGGAGTCTCAGAACAGCTTACACTCCCTTCCCCTCCCCACAACAGACACCCTGTGAGGTAGGTGGGGCTGAGAGAGCTCTTTCCAGAACTGCCCTTTCAAGGACAGCTCTTGTCAGAACTATGGCTTGCCCAAGGTCATCCAGCAGCTGCGAGTGGAGGAGTGGGGAATCAAACGCAGTTCTCCTAGATTAGAGTCCGCACACTTCACCAAACTGGCATAAGGTACACAGCGTGGCATTCCCATGATCTTTCGGAGAAATTTAGATTGAACACGTTCAATGGTGCCATTAAGTGCGCTTATCCATATTGGAATGTCACACATGAGTTGGGGAATTACTTTGGCCCTGAAGACTTTTAATGCAGCTGGTATAGAAAAAATCGGGAAATGGCGGAAGCAGGAGACTAACAGACAAAGAAACCCATTCATTCAACAATAACAAAAGCCTGCTCAAATGTTATCTAGGCTCGGTGCCAGACCATAACAAGTGCAGCCACCGCCGCTGGCAAGGGGAAGGAAAAGCTGCCACACCCGAAAAGGTGCCATCCCACATGCCCACTTCTCCCACTCCTGAAAAGCTGGAGGGGAAGTAGGACCTATGAAGATTAAAACAGTGCTGGCGGGTTAGTGCAGGGGGAAACGGCTCTTAAAACACTCTGGTCTCCAGTGATTTAAGATGTAACATGGCCAAACTAGCAGCTTGGATTGGGCCCACAAACAAATAAGCAACCAGTTAAGACCTTCAAGCCACTGGAATAATATAGTGCCCATGTGCCTAGGTTTGCCAGTTTCAGTTTGGGAAATTCCTGGAGATTTGGAAGCAGTGCCTGAGGAGGAACTTCAATGGAGATACGATGCCACAGAGTCCGCCCTGCATTTGTTAACCATTTCTTCCATACAGGGCCCAGGGGCTATAATGAGAGATCTCCCAGTAATTTCCCCTGGTCCCCACCAGCATATCGCAGGTAGGGGGGCGGGGTGCTGGTGTTGTACCACAGCGTGCGTTGGTTCCTGTGCAAACAATTTAATAGATTCCTATTTTGGTGATGCTGCATCTGACCAAGTCACTTCTGCCTTATGAAACCTGCCAGGCAAAATGTTTTTGTTTTAAGGTACCAGAAGATAGTGTGCCCTTTTACTACTACTACAAAATAAATAAATAAATTATTGTATGGCATTGTGTGTAGTATAGCCAGGAGATCCTAAAATTGTCTGGCAGCCTGATGTTCTAGCACCGTTAGGCGAACTTGACTTATTGGGGG